GAATAAATTTAAATGTTATAAATCAATTTCATTAATGTTAGCGACTATTTGCTCCAAAGAACACAAAAATCGTAAATTGAAAAACAGAAATTTTCCTTACCTTTTAGTTTTAGCTGCCTCGGATATATCTCCTGAAAGTGTAAATTTGTGTGCACTCTATGCGCTCTATGCACTCTTTTGTGAACTCAGTTACTTGTCAATATTGGCCTGTACTTTTCTTAGACATGCTCTTAGCTTACTTGTGCACTTGGCATGATGTCGTACTATAGGAAATATGGGCGGGCGTTACCATGCACCAAATATTGCTACAGGTGCATGTGTGCTACAGAAGTCATTCATCACATACACGACCGATCTTTCCATTTGAATTTTTTAAAAATGTATAGGAATATTTCTTGGCTTAACAAAATTTTATTAAACTGATTCAAATCACGAAGTTACAATGTCTCCATTGTTTTCGGAGCTAACCAAAATTTCGTTTAAACCAGACTCTTGCGACAAGCATGCATGCTTTCCTATATAGGAATTGGAAAACTCGTCACATTTTTGCGTTCCATTTCATGCGACAAGTACAATTGAAATATATGATGCTAGAGTATTTAGCATGGACCTGCCGTTTTGGCGCTGTCTTTAGATAGATTAATTTTATCTGCACGAAACCGCAATTTCAATACAATAAATTATTTATTTCCTGGTTGCGTTTGAAATAAATCTATATATATATATATCAAATTTTTGTGTTCGATTTACAGCGATGTCCTGGAAATTATTCGAGTGTCGAAGACGAATCGCAACAAGCAACGCTACTCTCAAAAATTGATGAACTGGCCACTGTAACAACAAATTCGGCCGTATATTTGGACATCTTGAAAAAATTTAAAATCTTGCTGTCCCGGTAGTTCGGACCCGTTTTAGTAAGCGCAAACCTACAAGAGGAAAACCCGTCGCTCAGGAATGATAACATCAATCTAAAGGAAGAGCGCAATAGCCTAAATTGTGTTGTGTCTGACCTGAACTCTCGTATTAAGTGCCTCGAAGAAGAAAAATCTAGTCTGTTAACTTCCATTAGACTTATTCAAATTGAGAATAATTGTGCTGCAAACACCCATCAAATGGATCCTCAGTTAACGATTCTGATCCGACGTCAACTGCGGTAAACGAAAAAAAGGATTCGTCCGTTTTGTTTGTTGAAGATAGTCTGTCTTCACCAAAAGCAAAAGAGTTGAAACGCAAGTATAAAAAGAGGAAATCTTTATCAACTATTAGGGGAAAGAATCATCTGCAGGAAAATCATGTAGTTTATCCCTCTAATATTAATTCAAATTCTAACGACCCAGCTGGGCAGTCAAATCAGTCATATAGTATTCCAGAGCAAAATGACATAGATGTTAGATCATTGAGTTCAAACACAGGAAATTGTCGATCAAATTCACATGCCCCTAATTTAGTTAACAGCGTTGAGCATGATTCGCCAAAGGGGAAATCATCTATGTATAACCACGCGAAGAAAATGACTGTGGTTATTGGTGACTGGATGCTGAAAAATCTACAAGGCTGGCGTCTTTCCACGCCAGAAAATCATATGTTGTTGTTAAAAGTTTTGCCGATGCCACTACTTCAGATATAAAAGATTATATTAAACCAGTTTTCCGGAAAGAGCCTCAAAAAGTTATTTGCATGTTGGCACAAATGACCTAAAGAAATTATCGGAATATTTAATTTATTATAAAAGATATAGGAATATATCTTGGCTTCACAGAATTTTATTAAACTGATTCAAATCACTCATTTAATATTCAAGAGCAAAATGACATAGAAGTAAGATCATTGAGTTCAAACACAGGAAATTGTCGATCAAATTCACATGCTCCTAATTTAGTTAACAGCGTTGAGCATGATTCGCCAAAGGGGAAATCATCTATGTATAACCACGCGAAGAAAGTGACCGTGGTTATTGGTGACTGGATGTTGAAAAATCTACAAGGCTGGCGTCTTTCCACGCCAGAAAATCATGTTGTTGTTAAAAGTTTTGCCGATGCCACTACTTCAGATATAAAAGATTATATTAAACCAGTTTTCCGGAAAGAGCCTCAAAAAGTTATTTGCATGTTGGCACAAATGACCTAAAGAAATTATCGGAATATTTAATCTATTATAAAGTATATAGGAATATATTTTGGCTTCACAGAATTTTATTAAACTGATTCAAATTTTCCGCCGTTTTTTAAATTAATAGCCTTTAATTAAAAATGCTTCTCTCCTATATCCCTTGGAAGTATAATATTATGTACGGTAGCTATATATATACATGATCTAGCCATTTATGTGTTCATGCAATTTATGGGTGTAATTACTTGCATGTATTTGTGGGGTTGAAGTGCTCCCAAGGGTCACCTTCTGGCCCATAGACTCAATATATTTTATGTAAACATATTGAATTAAATTGTAACAGGCCCTCATCCGGATTATTACCCCTTCTTATTTCCAGGGGATTATCACCCCTTCCATATTTGTTAGGGGATTATCGCCCCTTCCTGACTTCCAGGGCTTATCACGCATTCTTTGCCTCCAGGGGCCTATCACCCCTTTTTTACCTTCAGGGGATTATCACCACCCCTCCTTTTCTTATAGGGGTTTATCACCCCTTCTTTACTGACATTAGATTAGCACCCCAACTTCAATTACAGGGGATTATCACTCCTTAGTTCTAGGGGATTATGAACCCTAGGACATTCAGGCCAGGGGATTACGACTCCGTGCTTATTTTAGATAAATTGTGTATGGGCAATTGTAAATCAATTTTGTAAATAACTATTACTGGAGTACTTCAACCCGACAACCCATTCTCCTACAAGTTAGTGTGTTTTATTTTGTTCTGCTAGTCGAAAAGCAATTGCAACATTAATGTATATATGCAATCAGTTTTGCGTGAAACATGTAAATAGTATATATATAACCATGGCAACAACATAGCGCAACATTTAAATTCACATGATGAGTGTGGCAAGCACAGCTTGTCATACGAAACAAATTTCTGGTGAATAAAATCAAATGAAAAAAACCAAGTTTATTGTTTTTCATTTTCGTCTAATTACAAATTAACTTGTTGATTATGTCAACCTGCATGAACATTTTTATGACAAAAATCAATTACTTATCTCATGTGACATATTATATATTAACTTTTCTATTTTTGCATTTTTGTCATGATGATTATATCGCTAAACTCAAGGGGTTTTGTAACAGAATTTTAGACGCAGCGGGTAAGATTTAATTCCCTGTGACATCGTGTGGCTATACATTACAACCTCAAATCATCTTCAGCGCTTTTAAAAGTGTTTTTTTATTTTATTGGCCCCCTACACAGTGTATGTATAAAAGGCCTATCTTTGACTTTTTTTTGTACATACGCTCCCTGAACAACAGCAAACCTGTCTGACATATACTAATAACTTATGCAGGCCATGAGTATACCTCACTTTCTCGCCGAAAATAATTGTTTGGACTAAACAGAACACAGTTTTCAAATTAATTTTGCCTATTCAAGCAATAATAACGAAATCATCGAATAAAGCCACGAGCATGGTGTGATTGAAAAGATGATAAAATTGCTCGAACATAGAAAGTCTACGTTTACATGTCTGTTCTGTTCAGTGGTTAAGGGGGTTGTGAGGAATGTGTTCGAAAACTGCCTTGTACCATTTCGTTTATTTTTTTCCTTTTTTTATCTTGGACTATTTTGAACCAGTGACGATACCTTTAGGTTAGTTCCTTGGGTTATTTTAGGGTCTGGTTTATTTTCCGTAAAGCTAAGCTACTTGTCATTAATTAGAGTGTGCGCGTTTGGTGGATGTGCCCGACAATGCAAGTTCAGTAAACAGGTTGAGACTTTCTATTGATTGTTTACAGTGTAAACCTCTCCAGCGAATTATAATAATTGTGTTCATTAATATTTTCTACATATTTTTTCCATTAAAAGGCATACGACATGTCATATAATTTATATCGAATGTTTTAATGTCATTTTAAGAAATAATAATTTTAAAATAGGCGGCAGTCATAAAACTGATGTATATTTTGCATGAAAAATATGCTTTGTTTTGTTTTGTTTTATTACTGTTTACTTCTATCTTATCTTTAACGATTGTGTGGATAGGATCATTGCTTATTAAGGCTCCGTTTACACTATACCGGATTGCATCGGAGCGCAGCAATTTTGGCACCGGGGATTGGGCTGCTGTTGCTGCTATTTACACTACTCCATTGTGATCCGGTACATGCCGGGGAGCGAAATCACTCCGGTTTTACGGTGATATAAAAAGTAATCCGGTATGTACCGGAGCAGTGTAAACAGACCAATCCGGAACAAAACGTATTTTGGCGCGAGATTTGTAAGCCAACTCACGAGAATGACTCAGGCAGTATTTGGCGGGAAACTGGCTTTTATGGCGACATCAAAAAGTGATGAGCTGGCAACAAAGCAAAACGGTGGGATCAGCATAGCGTAAACATTCTTATTTTTTGCTTTGGAGTGAAAATTAATTCGGTATGGAAAATAAACCGGTATAGTGTAAACGGGGCCTAAATTAATAATTCATGAATAATTTAACCAATAACAAGTAAGCATTCAGCGACAGGATAAGGTTTAAATACCAAGATTAGACAGAGTTGTACGGAAGATTTTAACTCCAAACGGTTTTCACTAAATTAAGATAATTGATGAAAATCACTAGTGTTTTCTCTCTACCACCATCCTGTTTTCGACAATCTGGCGCATGCGTAGACAAATTGTCTCTATGTTAGTGCATTGCATTGTGGACAACACAATTAATCGTATATCACCTTACATATACCAGCCTTTGAAGTCTATACTGCAGTTCGATGTTTATTAATGCGATAGACTGTCCTATTTTTTGTGTGTCTCGTTTGATAAAAGTTAGATTAATCAAGTCAGAAGATCATATTAATTGAATCATCAGGTTTATTTGATGTTCCATTTCTTATCCCCAGCAACGTAATTTTCCCAGTGTATGATAACCAAGCTCATCTCTCCCTTTATATGAAGATGTATCGCCAAATCTCAACTCAGTGACAGGAAGTGTTTTCCTGTCTGTCAGGTATCCACTGTCTTCACGCCATATTTGAGTATTCTCGTCACAATTACATTTTCCTCCATCTGCACAGCTGTTGGTCATTCCACATGAACACTTTCCACTGTTGACTGCCGCTCCACCCCAATAATCCATCTTGTAACCCTGACGTGATACCCACCAACCGTAGGGATATCTGAACAACAAACTATCAAAACATTCATATTGAATAAATTGCTCACAATTCTTCGACTGGTTGATAATCGCGACAATCTGCTCCATGGAAATGTTATATTTAATCTTTCTTTTGTAAGAACCTGGAGATTCATGTCCATCTACAAGTGTTCTGGATTCACTATCATGTCCAATCTCTGTCACACCAACACCATTCTTTGAAGTCATATCACAAAATGTCATAGCTGAGTGTCCTTGCATGAAAGTTACACGATACATGCCGCTATCGGCTGTTTGATTTTTTTCTCGTAATATTGAACATGCACTTAGGAATTCTGTGGAAGAAGAACACTTTGTTATTAGAGTGTTTATTTTCTAGTTTTGCATTTCCCCCCAAAATTGGATAAGTTGGAGGCTTGGAAATTAATAGCGGCAGAAAATAATAGGAACAACAGCAATAAGTAAAAAGCTTGCTTACTCGAAAAAAAAGTATTTCACTAGGCTTTTGCCGATATTACTCGTCTAAAAGTGGCTATAAGTTCTTTAAGGCCTACGTTTTCTAAGCGTTGTTACGCGAAAACGATAGCTTCGTCAAGCGTTTAGCTGCCAATATTTTAAAACCTGGACCAAAATTTAAAAGTTCAGGTCCCAGAGTCTTAAAATATGAGATAAAAATATTTTGAGGGAAGTAGATCTGAGAAAAAGCAGCTTTTTGTTCATGAAAACATATATCAATAGCCAATGGAGTTAAACATAAATGAATAGCCGATCTATTTACTCACACTCGTCGTATATATAGCTGGTAGCCAACTCGGTGCTAAGCATCTCGTCGACTATATATCGGCTCATATACGACTCGACCTCGTGGTATAAATGTTAAATATAAATCCTATTCTATCTTATTTGTCCATCATGTACGTGTCAAAACGCTAGAATATAAAACAGCCAACATATCTTTGACTACCACTCTTACATGACATTGAATACCAAAAGATTGATGTTTGCTTTTGTGCGTGTAATTGTAGTTCAGTGTGTAATTTCCACGAGAGAACCACCCACTGGTTTCGTTTGGATTGCCTGAACTTGGAATATTTGGGCAATTGGGTTTAGGTTCTAGCCAGCTAAAAAAGAGATTTTCCCGAGCTTTGACAAATGCTTCTATGGTTTGTTGGCATGGACATTCACAGGCTAAATAAAAAACCCAAAATTTCTTCATGCGGAAATTCAAAAATGCATATGGGTACTTACTACCTAAGAGTCTAGTTTAAGACAAGAGACAAGTCAAGTGAAATAAACATCATACCAAATATTTTCCCAAGTTGTATAAATGTGGACGTATAATTATTATACTATAATTATTTATTGATTTAGTTTGCCTGGAATTTTCATGATAAAAAATTTTCTGTAGGATCAATTTTTGAAACTTGTACCATTTATTTCCAAACATTTTTTATTTTTTCTGAGAACGAGAGAAAAAAAATTCTTGGGATGTAAAAAAACCCTAATAAATACTCACGAACAACGGTAAATCTGACAAAACATTTAAACTGAATGATCTTGCCATCACTTTTGTACGAGAATGGATAGGTAATCACGTGTTTGCCGAGCGAGAAATGTGCGGGAGACGTGACGCCAGGTGGACCGACTGGACCTCTCTCATAATCAGAACACGTGACTTCGGGTATTGTCCAATTGACCAATCCTGTGAGTCCACCAGGTGTAGCATATGCAATAAAATCTTCATCACGTGCACAATCACATACTCCTTAGGAAGAGAAAAATAGGACCGGTTGCTGGTTGTTTTTAACTCTTAAAAATATTAAGTGGTGAATGAGAAACGTGCAAGTTCCGAGCAATAAAATTAAAACAGCGGTTATGTATATTGATTGCCATTAACAGAGGTAACGAACGTATTATCCTAGGGAAAATTGCTAAAACAAATCTTATAATACAGCCTTGCCCAGTGAACGTCTGAGTTATGAGCCGAAATATTTGACGCTAGACGTTGGGCTGTGTGTCGAATTAAAGCTATTTAAAAGTTATATTTGGTGTGGAAATTTCAAGAAATAAACTGCAAAGGAAATATTTAAAGAAAAACAATTACCAACCTGCAAAAAACCGGGAAATTTTCAAATATTTTTTGGATATTTCCGTGCTTAAGTCTCGAAATTACTACACGAAATATAGCTTTTCAATAGCTTTAATTTCATTTTCGGCTCAATATTTGGCGTCAAGTCTTTCAGCTCAAAAAAAGTAAAAAGTGAAAGTAAAAGAAAAAGTAAAAAGCACTCGCTTCAAATCCCCCCCCCCTGAGTTATCGTTCCAGTTTGTTTACAGTTCAATGGCCTTAATTGGCCTACAGCTATAGATTTTATTTAAAATTTGCCAACTTTGTGTGGCAGTATTTACAACACCTCTCAGTCTTTCTGTAAAGTTCAACATTTAGTTTTATAGAGAATGTCCTATTAAATTATTATTGTAAAATAGTAGACGAAGGCTTCTCATTGTCCTCCTTATATCCTCGATAATTGTTCGAGATCTAAAGAGTCTCAAAGTTCTCGTGCAATTTTCCCTCAAGGCTGCATGATTAAATCAAAATAAATTGTCTATAATTATTGAATAGTTTTCGAGACTTACCTCCTGGATATGCACAAAAGGCATCAACGATTTTATTCAAATCTTCGTCTAAGTTGTCGGATATAATTTGTTTAAACACCGGATGTGGTGACGACGATCTTTTAACGTCAAATGTGAGGAAATTGCTTTCGCTTCCAACAATGCCTACGATGGTGGAATTTTTCGCTTTCCTTAAGATATCAACGAACCTCGCTTGATTTTTTACTAAACTGTTGTTGTCAGTCCTATTGCCCAATAATAACAACAGGATGACGTCGTCCACACCAGGACGGTCGTTTTTCCAAGTGCTGTTTTTTAGCGCCTTCAAATGAGAAAGAAATAATTTGTCATTCGGATCATTTTGTTGTCTGGAGTTATATATAGTAGTCTGTATGCAGTAAAATGGAATATGCTCCCTCTATTATAATGGTTGCGCGTTAAAATTTATATAGTAAGATTGATAAAATAAATTATTTTATATTGATGCTCTGTCGACATAAAAAAAAAACTTCAGTTGACCAGTTAGAAGCATTTCGTTTTTTGGAAGCCTAGATGTTTACATATGTTTGGACAAGTCGGAATATCGCTTACTTTTCTATGAGCAAAGACATTCGCACATGCAACGAAGTTTAAATAACCTTTTTTTAAGAGGGAAATTTTTTATATGTCACGTATTTTGGCGGGAAAACGTTCAAAACATAAAATCTTTTTGGCGTACCACTCAAAATTAATTTATTTTTGCACAAAAATGGACCAACAAACTGCAATCTAAACCGTCAATTTTTCGCGCTTGATTTTGACCACATAGTCGACTTCGGGCGGTTGTCCTGCTGCTGCATAGTCTCCAACGTTGTTGGAGTTTACTTGGTCGTTCATGGCAAATGCAGCTTCACCGCCAAAAACGAATGGCCGAAGGAAAGAGTTGGTGTCGGATCTGCATGCGGTAAGGGTGCATGTTTAGATCTAGCCTCGTTAGACTATTAAAGTAGCGGATGGTAGGCCAACACCATTCCGTCTTGTACCTGTCGAATGCCCAGCCAATCGCTGTCTTGCTGCCTCAATGTTAGCTTCTGATCGTCCAGAGCGACTTCTGGCTGAATTTTCCTTTTTTCGATGTTTTAATGACGAATGTTCGTTGTTCTACCGTAAGTTGGACCATGTTTGTGAGATTTATTCCAACTTAATATGCATATGCGGGTAGTTTATTCAGAAGCGAAATTCTTCAATTAAGTCCCAAAGGGAGTTAATTTTCAATAGTTTTAGTCCCAACTCTCAGAGGTAAAAATATGCGATTTTGACTAATATTTTCTACTTAGCCTCCTATTTGCTCATTTTTTCACCATTTGGTATTAAAAACATTTCATTCAATGGTTAAAAGCCTAATCTTTGCGAATGTGAAAAATTCGTTAATAGAATGAATAGTTCGCGTACAATAGCGCGCCAAAGTTGGATTACTTTTTTTTATACACCCTGTATATGGATAATTCACAATCAACTCACATGAATTTTAAGTCCGTGTGCCTTTTTTATGATGGTCGTATTGCTTCTGGAATAATTGCTGCTTTCAAAATCCTCAATCCACTTTATCAGCTCTGTTTTATTCTTAATATCCCCAAGTTGCAATAATTCTCTTAGTTTGTTGTCGTTTTGGAGTGTGACGAAACCAAGATAAGTTCCTTGTTCCTTCGCGGCCAGCTTCTCATTTCTGACTAAGTTCTTTAGAAATCTTTTCACATTAGGGTAGAGACCAACAAAATTATAATTGTCCCATAGAACAACAATATCTTTTTTGCATTCTGAAATTATACACGATGCAAAAGTGAATCAATAGCTTAGCTAACCTAACGATTCAGCACCGTGATGCGCATGAAGTTTTCAGTATAATAATTGATCTCTTTAAAAATCCATCATGTGTTCACTGTCCACGGAAGTTAGCTAAATCTTAAACAAAATCGTCTTGCTGGATGATTCATTTAGGTAAATTATCGACTTTACCGCGCTGCGGTGTCTTTAAATTTAATTCTGAATTTGTATAAAGGAGGATGTACTAGTTGTGCTTATTCAGTGATCGCGAAAGATTTTCTCATTTGATGCACCCTCTTATAAAACACACGTTTGCTGTAGTTTTGTCTATATTACAATTCAATATATGAAAAGCAGTACTAATTCAGTACAGCTTATTCGCCGATGCAGTATATCTGTACATGTATTTAAAAAAGTGAAAACACAATATAGTTCTACCTTTCGTGTTGGCTTTTTTTTAGTAATTCCATCAATTCCTAAATATTTAGTAAATTTTTTCATTTGATATGGTAAAAATATAAGTGACGAAAATTCTCAAATATAGCCTATAAAAAAAGATTACACTCATTAGGTTTGTTGACCCACTTCACGTATATTTCACACTATTTCCCATAGATGACCCATTTCAGGGTGTATTTTTATTATATAGCTTAATATTTAATACGGTACGAATGTTTAATACGGTATGCGTGAATTATTAGGAGTATTACTTGCCTTTGTTTTTCGAGTTACAGGAACGAGTATAAATCACAATGTCAAACGATTTTTTCAGCCCACCATACAGCTCAAAAATATTCCTGATCTTATTCAAACCAATAGAAAAACTCGGGGATTTTACGTAGGGAACTACTTTTAAGCCCCGTTTACACGACAAGTGTTTTGGGTACGGCACTCTTAAATTTAGGCACGCGGACCCATTAATATCAGCACGGCACTCTTAAATTTGGTCGTGTAAACGGTAACAAAATAGGTTCGCGGGCCGAAATATTTTGGCGGGCCGAGACCACCTCGAGAGGTAGTCTCGGCCCGCCAAAAGCGAAGTTGGCGGACCAAAAATTAATTACGCATGCGCCCTACATGTCGCAACATGTGACAAACACTGGTGGCAACATGGCGTCGAAAGAAGCATCCGGGACGACATGTACAAAAAGCAGAGGAAAATTATTGCCAGACGAGACTACGCGTTGTCTGATCCAACTGTGGAGTGAAGAAAGCATTCAAATATCCTTAGATGTTTGTAAAACCTCTCGGCAAAGCTCTAATGTTTATAAAAAATTGCTGGTGAGTGGTTGCTGTTTACAATTTTTTATACTTTGTACATATTTTATCAGAACTATCATTGATTTCTCAAACGTAATTTTAACATCATGATAATACCTAAGCACTAGACGTGTTTTTAACAGCACCAATTGGAAGGCAAAGGATTTACGGGATACACTTTAAAGGAAATTATCAACAAAATAAAAAAGCTTCGGCAAAAATACAAGCAGGAAAAAGATAAGGCACGCAAAACAGGCAATGGTGCATCTAGGAGGTGGAAATTCTTTGAAGAGATTGACAGATTTTTGATGAATCGTCACAATGTCAGCCCACCAGCCGTGATTGATACAATGGCAGAAGGCACACTTGAAACTGGAGGGGAAACTGAGGTCATGGGTAATGACGAATTGGATCAAAGTATTAAGTGAAAAAAGTAAACTCCTCTCATGCTCATTCATGTAAACATCCTCAGTGTGCCTTGTTTTTCTACAAAATCAGGTTTTCCATTTATTTTGTATACAAGTTTTTATGTTGGAGCAATTGGAGAAGTAAAGGAAAACAAATCTTTGCATTGTTGACTTACAGTATTCAAATGAGCAATTGAATACCCTGATGTTTTTAGTAAATATTTTTATTGCCATATCATATATTTTCCTTTTATTTTTAAAGTTACTAATTTGATTGAAAAATATGGTGCCGGGGAGACCAGCCTTCGCAAGTTTAATACATGCAGTTACGAACAAGAAATCAGATCAGAAGGAACCCATGTGTCTGAGGGTGGATCTGTCATGGTATTTTATGACGAAGACCAGTTTAATTGTCCAAATTGTAATGAACTTGATGCATCCAAATGCAGTGGCAATGGTATGTTGCTGTTAGCTGATCTGTGTAGATAATACAATGTCAAGATTGAAACCCCCTACTGAACTCTCAAATGGCTTTGTGGTATAATTCTTCCTAGGAAGTGATAAAGGCGATGATAGTGGTGATGATTATCCAAAGAAAAATTGTGGACTTGATCAGTCTAAAGACAAGAGTGAATCTGATGAGTCTAAAGATGAGAGTAAATCTGATCAGTCCAAAGATGAGAGTAAATCTGATCAGTTTAATCAAAGCGAAGAGAAAACATCAGTTATACCTAAGAGAAAAAAGAAAAGCAATGTTGAAAAAAGCCTAGAATTTGTGTTTAAAAACTTCAAAGAATCTGCTGCAGATGATTTTGACAGGTACCTGAAAAATACACTTGTAATGTCCTGAAAATAAATAAATACCAGGTAAAATTATAGTGCATGTTGTGTTAAGAAATCTTAATTTTGCAACTGGGTCATCTATTCTTGTGAATGTTAATGAGACAAAGCTAGAAATACAGCAGATTACGTGGTATATATGGTTGGCATTTTTAGTGTTACAATACCTACAGTCAATGCATCATTCTATATTGTTATAGATATCAGAAACTTGAGGAAGAAAGAATTAAAAAGGAGCATGAATTTCGAATGCAAGAAATGCAGTTAGAAAATGAAAGGCGAAAAGAAGAGAGAGAACACGAGCTATGCATGATGCGTATGCTTTTGTCTGCACAACAACCTGGCAATGGTACAACTGCAAATCGATGCAGTCCGTTTTCTATGCCCATCGTGTATGGCCAACAACCTTGTTTTGAGGACACACACCCAACTGGTGATTTTTCAACATATTATAAACTTTAATGTTGATTTGTGGACTTCATTGGATCTGTATTCACGTTGAAAAACTTCCAATATTGTTGACATTTTTGTTGGTTGCTTACGTATACAAGTTTTAAGTATGCGTAAAATTTTATATTCACAAGTTTTTACGCCAGTTGTTGATTTTGTTATATACTTTACATACACTAAACTTGCCATTAGCAATGTTTTCATAACTTTACAGAATAAAAGAACTGTTCTCAGTTGAGGGAATGTTTGATAGTATTATGAAGAAAAGTATTCGTTCAATGCACTGCGAATGCTCTCGGCATCAGGTGCATCAGCGTCATCAATATCATCTATTGGCATAATCAGGGGGTCTTCGGGCACCTCCCAGTTTGGCAGGTATTGATTGTTTTGACGCTCACAAATATTGTGCAAAATGCAAGATGCATGCACGGCAATCACTAAAGAAGTTACTTCCATATCCACTTGTTTGCGAAACCTGATGAATCTCCCTTTCCACCGCCCAAAAGTGTTTTCCACCGTCATCCGTGCTCGACTAAGGTTATAATTGAATTTTCGCTGGTCTTGAGATGCTTGATTTCTGGGATAACCTTTTAATACCCAGGGAAGGAAAGGGTAAGCTGGGTCAGCTATAAGAAATGGTGATATTTCTACCCCACAAATTTCTTTTACGAGGTCGTTAGCGAAAAGTTGTTGTGCATTCCCTTTTTTAAACAATGTAGAGTTGGAAAAAACACGAGCAGCATGTACACTGCCTGGCCAACCGATTACAATGTCGCGAAACAGATAATTGCAGTCAGTGACAGCTTGCATAATTATGCTATGAACTCCTTTACGATTGACGTATTCGGCATGGTTTACCGTTGGTGCAAGAATAGGAATGTGTGTTCCGTCTATTGCTCCAGCACACATAGGAAACCCCCATTTTTCTTCGTAACCGTGTATAACTTGAAGTAAATCTTCTCCATTTGGAAAAGTTATCATCTTTGAGAAGTGCTTTATTATAGAACTGCACACTTCAGGAATACACTGGCAGGTAAACGATCGCGATACACCAAATAAATTCCCAATTGTCCTGTATTCAGCAGTAGATGACAGGTAATATAATGTAAGAGCAAGTCGCCGTTTTGCGGACACTGCATCTCGCATAGATGTATTATTTCGATTTATATCCTGCCCAATTTCATTAAGAATTAATTCGAACGTTTCCTTCTTCACTCTAAAATTCGTATACCACAGCTCATCGTTAAATGCTTGATCAACCATGTCGAACCAAATTAGGGATCTCGGATGCATCCACACAGACCTTGTTCTCGAACGATGTATGTATGCCAAAACAGCTTCAGCAAAAGCAAGCCGATGTTTGTTTATTCGATCTTTACTGACTTTAGATATTTTTGATACACGACCACGAGACCTTTTACTCTTAACGCATTCTGAATTTTTTTTTCGCTTCATAAAAAAGAACCACACAAAAGCATTTATGTTCACCATTTTGAAATATCCCGCGAAATTTATTTATTTTCTTATGCAAATCTGCTGGCAATTTTTTACGGGGGCTCATGTTTAAGCGGACCGTGCCGTTAAGAAAGGGGTGCCTGTTCATAAAACAAGTACTCTTAAAACTTGTCGTGTAAACGAAGCGGACCGTTTCAGAAACAACGGCCCGCGTACCTAAATTTAAGAGTGCCGTACCCAAAACACTTGTCGTGTAAACGGGGCTTTAGACTATGAACTAGAAACTTATGCTGGCATGAAATATTTGGCTTTGTCCATGATATTGGGCCGGACATTTTCTCGTAGGTCACGCTGTCTATTCTTTGCTTATCAAAATGACAGGTGCATTTTTCTTCTATAATAAAAGAAAATTCCATTTATTTCACGTCCAGAAATATGTGACAAGTCATAGTGCAATATCAAGTAAACAAAAACATCAGCGGCGCAATATTATACGCGATTCGTGACATGCGAAACTCTGCGTGGGAGTGAATATGTGTCGTCTTAAACTCGCTTTCCACATTATTAAATTTTCATTGCTTAAAATCTTAATATGCACTGTGTACAGACGAAAAATAGGAATTACATCCACTAGCCAATATGATCATACGAATAAAATCACATCTCTTGATTTAATTATTTATTTTACGCGCAAACATTAAACGCTATTATAATAATTTTCATTTATAAAACATGCATAAACTGCTTTTCAAGAGACGGGAGGAAATTATTGGAAGACATTTGAACTCAAGGAATTGAAAAGGAGTTCGAATTAAAAAGAACAATCTTCTATCCATTAAACTTTTTCTTATGCTACCAGTTGGCAGTTCAGCTTCGGGTTGCAATGTTTAATAGAACAGTCAATCAAAAAGGCAATGGATTTATTTCATATCCTCCCGAGGTTTACAAGAGGTGAACATTTCCCGAGGAGCTAACGTAGTGAAAAATAGCTATTAAATGGTTCAATTAGCGAGAACCGTAGTTATTATTGTTTTTGCCTGAGCGCCCTTTTAAAAGATAGCGACAAGAGAAATGAAAAAAGCTACTTAGTCCCCGCGTTTTACGTCGAGGCTAGAACCAGAACCAATTACTGCGATCATTAAAACTTTACATACCTACAATAGGGCAAAGCTTTGTGTAGTCTTCATATCTCTTTTCTAGATACTCAGCTGTCTCGCTACAACACTGTGATATTTTTATAAAATCTTCATTTAAACATTCTTTTTCCCATTGTTTTCTGTCCTCCACGAATTCGGACCACCCTCTTTTGCAAAATTCAGACTCTTCTTCCACTGGCGTAGCCAGCATCGATAATTGGGGGGGGGTCCATATTCATATATTCATGTAAACAGACTGTAAAGACAATTGATTTGAAAAGAAATTAATCCTGCGTATCACGAATATATGAATATGGACCCCCCCCAATTATCGTTCTGGCTACGCCGCTGTCTTCCTCCCCGAAAACAAGGTTTGCAACAGAGTAAATCATTATAACTGTCTGCAGAACTTCTTTACAGTTGCCAAATATAATCGGTTTCTGTTTGCTTCGTTTAGACCTCATTCTATCAGAAGAAATAAAGATTATCTCATGTTTGCGCAGCAAACGTCTTGAAATATTCTGAGTCTTTCTGATACATTTTCTGTATAGCCTCGTATTCTTTAAATAATTATAAATATAGGCACACTAGATAGATCTGAGTGGATAAGCTGACCTAGTGAGCTCCACATACATCTGGAGTAAGACTTCCGTGAAGCCAAAGAATGAAGCCAAAGATGGCGAAAATTGAAGGAGATACAGTACGTCATTTTTAGTCCTCCTATGTGCGTGGTCAACTAAATTCGTATATATATATATATATATATATATATATATATATATATATATATATATATATATATATATATATATATATATATATATTACTGTTCTTGCACCAAATAATGATACTGCTCATTACATCATTAAAACTGTTGTAAGTGCAGTCATGCGGAACAAAGGCTACTTAAAGCAATGAATCATCAAATAGGGGTCAGTGTGTTGAACAAGTCCCTCAGGTGAACTTCGCTCTAGTCCAAAACGGCTCAACCCATCAACAAGTCACTCCAGCAGAAGTTAACGAGCCACAAGAACCGCATCGAAATCCAGATCCGCCAAGTCCGCCGCTGCCTGTGGAAGAACAACCCCAGCCACAAGCAGGCGAGGTACTTACATTTTGACATTGGTGTACGTGTTTCGTTTATATTTACTTGTTTCGGGGCCCATACTTTCATTGGGTAAACTACTGCAATCCCCGTTCGGATGACGTTGTATTATGCTTTCTGACAGCTTACTTGACAATATGTGAATTATCTTCTTTCACTTCAACGTGTATGCGGTCTATCTACGGTGATATAGTTTTATAATTCATCTGGTCGTATGTCAGTGGTAAACCTGTCGCTATATTCTCCCTCATTTAGTTAATAGGTGCGGCCGCTGTTTAAGATTTGATTCTAGTTTGTTTTGGGCCGCAACACCTTGAGTTGCTTCCCCGCGGGTTTATCAATTTCGATCGCTCGACTTTTGCAATTTGTCTCGTTCATCCGTTTCAGTTTGGGGATTTTTGTTATTTCTGAGAGGCTTTTCTGAATGCATGTCTACCATTGTTCAGCAGCGCCGGGTTATCACTTGGGTGATCTTTACTAATTACTAACCAGTGCCGGCTCGACAATAGCTCTTCCGTGTTTATCACATTCATGCATTGTTAGCTATGTAATTATACGCCTCGGATGGTTTGATTTTCGGGATGCGTACTTTCCCCACATTAAAACATTGGCTTAATATCTTCAGATGAACCTTTTTACTCTTCTGCGTCGTTTGAAAATAAAGATCGGTTTATCGAGAATCAAGGTGGTTTACTCGCTGCTCGGGACCCATTTTTGTGTTGCCCTCAGGACATCGGCATTGGTTGTGGCCAGTGCGAGCGCATTTAATTAAACTCGAATTCACATGGTGTATCAGTACAACAGAGGTTGTGGCCGTCTCAAAAAGGTTATTAGCCTCGATGACATTGGTTGGGGCCGACAGGGAAGCATCTAATTTCTGATAACCTGGCTTCGTATATGCTATGGCTTTAAAGCAGCTTGATAGGGGTCAAGCTCGATTTTATGAGGCTAAGCTGGTTGCGGCCAGTCCACGTGAAGGATTTCTCTCGTAATTCACCCAACCTTGCACATGTGACTCATTGCATTGGTTAAGGCCGGGGGCCAGTTGTATAGAAATGTGGTTAACTCTTAACTATAGTTAGTGACAGGATTGCCCAATTTGAGTCATGTATTTCTGGGTGATTACGATTTAACTACGCGGAATATAGTTAGGAGCTTTGTATAGCCGGCCTCAGGTCACCTCCTTGCGTGTGTAATATCCCTTAACAGGCTCGCCCGGCCTTTGGTCGTAGCTCGATAATAAGATAAGGTGTGTCCCGTAGCTGGAGCGGCAGTCGCACGCTTTGGAAGAGGAACTTGAAACCTTGAAGGCCGCGCGATCTGCTACAAGCGGGGTGGAGTCGGCTCTGCATTATGTTCCTCAACTGGCATCCACACCTTGGAATCTCAGAGACCCTGCTATGATCTTATCTGCCCTGCAATAGCTCTCGGATCAAGCTCAATGCAGTAATCACCCAAAATCAGCGGAGTTTGAAGCCATTCTGCGTCAAACACGCCCCCTTTTGTATGAACCAGAGTTTGGGGACATTATTATTCGAGTGTTAGGAACAAAAGAGCCATCGCCAAGATCCGCAAGACTTGTAGATCCTTTCGCCACCCATACTCTCGGGACGCCCGGGGTAGTCGGGGCTCTAGAGGGAGATTTGAGCGACGAAATTCCAGCGCTCCGATTTGTTTCAACTGTGATGAACCGGGACATTTCCAAAGGCATTGCCCCTCAAAAAGGCTTAGGAATTGGGTGTTACCATTAGCATCTTTCCTGCAATTTACGCAACTTGTATTAATGCAAGATTTCATTTTCAAATAAAAGAAACGCAAAAAAACATATTCGTCGTTGTCCCTTATAGCTTTTTATATTGTTGTCGGTCTCATCATCGCCGGACCCGGGTGCGGGCGTCTAAAGCCTTTTATGCCCCTCGGGGCTATCTGGAGCCGGCGGTGTGGTGGACGACCCAGCATGATTCTTCGTTCCTCTTCGTACCTTATGCGCTATTTATCTTAAGTTATTTTGCCGGTGAAGCGCCGTAGACATTTGGACAGCTATGGACCTACGCGTCCTGATATACAATGGTGCAATTGGCAGGGTTCGCCCATCACTCTCGTCGGCCCCAGACCCTCTCCTATTCTGGTCTGTAACGGTCACGCTCTGGCCAGTACTAAGGATATCATATTTCGGGATCCGTCTTTCTTTCCCCCTGATGAGCTGCATAACCACTATTTGGAATGGGAACGTATTGCTCCCCCCGGCAAAGCCTGTCAGGTCCTTTCCTTCATTCGTAACGGTGTAGACGTGTGGCAGTATATCCAACCATTTCAAGGTACTTTCGGGGGTATACATTATGATTTACCATTCCCTTCTTCCCGACAGTTTCCTAACAGTTCATCGTGTGGGGAATTTCAGTAAAAGCTTTATTGATGCAACCATCCAGGAGCGAGTGCTTACTGGCTCGTTATTGTTTTGGGGTCGTGTCGGAGAAGTTATTCCACCCCATTTGGTGATGCCTATTACCATCGAGCCGCAAAACCCCGTCTGTGCCATGATGAGAGATTTCTAAACCTCTGGATCCGTGATCTTTGACGATCTCCGACCTTCCACGTTACCTTGCCTGTGAGCATTTTCAAACGATATGTGATGATAAAAGTGGCTATGACCATCTCATGCTGACTCCCAACAGTAGGACTATGTTCGGTCTTTCTTGGGACGGTTGTTATTTTGTCTATGCATCGCTTCCGTTCGGTTGGAATGCCAGCGCTTATGTTTATCATTGTACCGGTCTTGTTGTCACCAGTTATATTCGTTCCCTGAACGTCCCGTGTAGTCAATATATTGATGACAGACACAACGGTCAGCTTGTTCTCGCCGACTCATGCGCATGGAGGGGGGGCCTCACATTTTGGACCTCATGTCTCTGGATTCTAATGTTCATCGGTCTCCTGATGGTTCCCCTCTTCGGCATTTCACCCCGTGGCCTACACCGGATTCGACTGGGGTAAATTTTTCATTCAGTCTGTGCAAACCTCGGAGAATGCATACGTTTTCCCACCGTTGTCCGTCGTTGGTCCCGTCTTTAGGTAACTTCTGGAAGCGAGGTACCTGTTCAACATTGTCCTTCCCAACATCTTCCCACGTCGGTTCTGGTGGTCCTTGGTTAATGGGCGTGCTACAGGAAAAATTCTTTTGGGGTCATTGGGTCAAACCGATATTCTCTTGTTTCCCACTCGCATGGGTGGGTTCACTCCCAAGCCTCTTGACTATGACCTTTGGGCCTTTCGTTTTGTCTGAAGTCGCCTCAGAGCGTTCCGTCTTCTTCGTTGTTATTAGGGTGTGCCCAGCATTTGGCGTCCTGCAAAGACTTCTGATAATGACACTCGAAGCAAGTGTTTTGCCAGAAGTGTGTTAAAAGCCAATCTCCCGACGATCGTTCACTTTTTCCGCCCGTTAAGAAACTAAGGCTCGACATCAATGCGATTAATACCCGATTGGATGACCTTCGCTCTGCGAGGGCCTCATCAAGTTATGGCCGCCAGAAGTCGCATTTAGAGACGGAACTTCAGACATTTTTATACCCACTTCTCCCGCGTAAAACGCCCCTCTCGTGCACGCCCAAAGATGTGACACAATTCCTAGTCTGGTGGGATCAACATGGACGCACAAAAGCCCACACCTCCGACTGTACCTTTTTCGGCGCTAAAGGCAGAACTATTTACGGCTGTCCCGCTCGTTTGGCTGCAACCACTGCGGACTCAACCATTGGGAAACTCCGTGCTGTCTTCCGCACTCGGATCGTTCAGAGGGAATACGATATCCGCACGGGTTCTGGAAATCCAGCTGCCCATTTCTCCGTAAAACAGTACCTTTCATCGGTTCAGTTGGAACAAGCTGAGGCAAAGGTTTCTCCTGCTCAGGCTACGCCTCTTAATTCTCTTCACAAAATTTCTTCAATTGATTCGCCATTTACGGTGACAACTGTCCACCACTGCTTCGTCAGCTATTGATAAATATATCTTTGCTCTTGACCTGTCGTTCTTTTTTCTAGAGTTTTTCACTGGCCATCGGGCCTCCGACCTCGGCAGGCTCAGGA